AATGAATCCTGGTCCTGTGTGTACTCTGAAAATTGTTTGTATTATAATTCCAGTAATCACTCTTTCTTTGGATGTTATTATTGCCCAACCTGGTTGTGGGGGTTCACCCTATACATGCCCACCTTGTATTCAATCAGAGACTCAAGCAAATCCTTATGCTGGAACTCTGTCTCACTCTTTCCTCTTTGCAAATTCTAGCTTCCTTGACCTTCCCCAAATCCAGTCTGTCTCCTCAACTCAGAGAGACTGGTGGGCTTTGTTTGGGTTCCTCTTCCCTCTACCGCAGTCTAGAAATTACCATCTGGTAGAAAGCCTGGGTGAAGGTACGACTCATCTCTTTGCCTTCTCTCAGGAATGACAGGGCTACACTGCCTATTATCCAGTGTCTGACAATAGTTGTTTCCTATAGTTAATCCTGGTTTTTATGGAAGGAGGATTATTCCCATATGGCTCAAAGAGAGAACTGTGCCCTTTTGATTTTTCATGTAATAAATGGTGTTGGTAGTTTTACTGACATTAGATTCCTAAGAAAATCCCTAGTTGGTCATAGTTTATTAATCTTTTGCTACAACGCTGAAATCTGTTTGCTAATATCCTATTTAGCACTTTTGCCTCTATTAGGTGATTTTGGCCTATAGTTTTTTTATTTATTGCATTTTCTGTTAACTATATTATCAGATTTTATTGGGTCACCTGGGAGGCTCAGTAGGTTAAGCTTCCAGCTCTTGATCTTAGCTCAAGTCTTCATCTCAGGGTCATGAGTTCAAGCCCCACACTGGGCTCCATGCTGGGTGTGGGGACTACTTTAAAAAAATTATTAAAGTTATGATGGCTTTATAAAGCAGACTGGGGAACATTCTATATTTTTCTTTTTTTTTTTAAAGATTTTATTTATTTATTCATGAAAGACAGAGAGAGAGAGAGAGAGAGAGAGAGGCAGAGGGAGAAGCAGGCTCCCAAGGAGCAGGGAGCCCAATGCGGGACTCGATCCCAGGACCCTGGGATCATGACCTGAGCTGAAGGCAGATGCTTAACCATCTGAGCCACCCAGGCGCCCCATTCTATATTTTTCTTTAATTTAGATTATTTCAAGAACATTAAAATCGCTTGGGTTTTTTTTTTTTTTTTAAGATTTTATTTATTTATTTATTTGAGAGAGAGAGTGAGTGAGTGAGAGAGAACCCGAGCAGGGGGCAGGAGAAGCAGAGGGAGAGGGAGAAGCAGACTTCCCCATGCAGGGATCCTAACACAGGGCCACGGGGCTCCATCCAGGGACTCCGGAATCATGACCTGAACAGAAGGCAGATGCTTAACCGACTGAGTCACACAGGCGCCCCTAAAGTTATTTGTTTTTTTAAAAGTTAACTAGAACTCATCCATGCAACCATCCTATCTTTTTCAATGATTAATTTGAAATTACCTTTCAAATTTGTTTTCTGGAAGTTGGTCTACTCAAGCTTTCTACTTTGAGAGCATTTGAACATCTTTTTTTGAAGGTTCTTTTTACTTTTGCAATGTCATTCCATACAAAAGCAATAAAAACATAACAGTCAACAAGTTTACAATAGAATATTTGAACAAAAATCTGTATACATTATCCTTTACAGCAGTTTTACACAGTAAATTAACTGATTGTTTAAAAATGCTCCTTTTAAACACCTGTGCTATCTTACTTCTTGGAGTATTGTAGGTAGAGAACCTATGCAGTGCTATTTACAAGTACAAAATTAAGACTGTATAACTTACATGGAATCCATTAATTTAAGAGCTCAATTTAGTATACTTGACTATTCAGTGCTCTGTATGAGGAAAAAATCAACCTTGACATACTGACGAAGAGCCAAAAGTTCAATTTCCATAAAAACATAAAGGTATCCAATTCTGAGAATACTGAGTTGGATACCAGTAAAGAAAACTAATGCTATATCGATGCTAGATTTGAAGGATTAATTAAGTTAAAATATTTTGACTGAAAACGTATTCATTTCCTTTAGGTTTTAAATTTTGTTGTCATAGCGTTTCACATAATATTTTCCCAGTGTTTGTTAATTGTGAGTTCTATTGTGCTTTCCATTATGTCAATAATTACAATTCCTTTTGCAGGTCTCATAATGCACATATTTATTTCCTGTTGTGTGAAAAAGAAAAGGATGGGTCCTAGGATTGGGGTGTGTAGAGCTCCCTGCCCAGCAGGGAGTCTGCTTCTCCTTCCTCAACCCCTCCCAGCCCCCAGCTGGTGCGTGCCCACTCTCTCAAAGAAATAAATAAAATCTTTTTTAAAAAAACATCATTTGGGTGCATAGCTGAGTAAGTTTTAGAGGATAATAAAGCACTTTACACAAATGAGAACATCTGCAGTCACCCCAGGAATGATAAAATTACAGGGCTCTGAATCCTCATGCTTCTGGGCACTGGCTGATCACCAGCTGGAAGAAGGAAGATATTCCCTACTATTTCTATAATACCATCAGTTACATTCAGATTTTTATTTCCCTTTAAACATAACTCATTGGAGGACTTTAATGTACATTATGGCCACACAGTGCAGCATGAGGGGGGAATCTTCAAAAGTTTACAAAAAACTTTTTAGAGAAATGAATTCAAGAAAAACCATAAACTCTCAGGGAAGGTAAACAGAATAACATAGAGGTTAACAAAGATGATTTTGTGTATTTCTTATACACAGAGCTTGACAGAGAGAAAACTCGGCATTTGTCAAATGAATGAGTGAATGAATGAATGAACGAACAAACGAACAAGGGAGCAGAATTACATGTGCCTGGATTCAAATCCCAGCCTCACCAGTATTTGACCTTGAATACTTTATTTATTTACTCATCTTTAAAATGAGGATAATTATGCCCACCTCTTTTTGTTATCACAGGGATTGAACTAGGTAATCCATGTAAATAAATAAACCCACTGCCTAAAACAGAATGAACACTTAACAATGACAGTCATTTTAAGAGCTCTCCTGGGATTGATTTAGCTAATTCCTGGCCAAATAGATCTAACAATTAAATCACCTCAATATATTTCATAATAGGTCATTCTTCATGTATTGGTTATATTATAAATCTGTATTCTATTGAGTCTCTGTGAGACAGTGTATTACACCGCAGACATTCCCTAAAATTATTCTTTATTTTTAACTTAGGTTATGTTTTCTGCTAATAAGCAGACCTCTCAGATGGTGTCTTTTTCTGTTTGGGCTGCTAAAACAAAATATCACAGACTGGGTAGCTTATAAACAATAGAAATTTATTTCTCACATTCTAGACGCTGGGGATTACAAGATCAGGGTGTCCACAGGTTTGCCATGTGGTGAGGGTCTGCTTCGTCATAGACGGTGGCTTCTCATAGTAACCTCACAGGGTGGAAGGGGGCAAAGGAGGCTTCTTGGGCCACTCTTATAAATGCATTAACCCCATTCATGAAGGCTCTGCCCTCATGGCCCAATCACCTCCCAAAGGCCCCACCTCCTAATACCTTGAGGGTTAGGATTTCAAGATATGAATTTTGGAGAGACACATTGAATCTATAGCAGATGGTATACTATGATAAGCAAAGTCAAACTCATAAAGAGAATGTTTGCTGCTCACTTTGACATGTCCATAGCCCTGGCCCAAGGCTACTGTGACTTTCAGCCAGATGTATACAAAAATTCTGGAAAGGATTTTTATGTATTTTTATATATTAAATTATGCGTGGTACTGACAATCTTTTCTAACAGTTTCTCAACAACTATTTGGTATTAGCGAATTCTCTTGGGACCCATAAATTGGATACATCCTGCAGATACAGATAATGTTCCAAGTCCACATGAAGAAATTCTATGGCTGTAAACAGAGTACATATGCCTTTGGATGCTCTGGACTTAGCTAGTTAAAAACCAGATTAAAAAGAAATCATATAGCATTTGTGGTTAGCATAACTTTAAATAACAATGAGAACCCGCCCCTCAACAATAATCAAGTGCTGTTTTCATTGCAACTGAGGAAGGTTTCGGAAAGATAATCTAGTTTATTGGACTATTTCTCCAAGGGCAGGATTATGGGCCATTTTTTACTGGGCAATAAAATGCTTTTAAACTGTAAATGTTGCTGCATATAATCAAGTTATATCTTTTTTGGAAGATGAAAAATGGAAGATTTCTTAGACCTTGGAGAGTTTTTGCCATTTATTTATGAATCACTTGCAAAAGGCAGTCACGTACTATTTCAAATAAGCTGCTATCTCAGAATGTCGCTGTCACTTGACTCAAAGATTTTTCTTTCTTTTTTGGGGGGGCGGGGAGGGAGTTCCTCCTCCTCCTACATCATCAAGTCAACAATTCTGTGGGCAAGGGACAGGACAAGATATCTTCATCAATATTTGGAGACAGAGAAGAAGGGTGCTTAATATATGAGGACTAACACTAGATCTCGCCCCATTCCCCTACCTGCACCCCTCCACCAGCACCATCACCCTACGCACTTCACTGGAGGAAACAGAAAAAAACCACCATTCTGAAGCTGTGGTAAATGCTCAGGCCACGTGACACTGAATAATGCTGTTTGGATTCAAACACTGAGACTCCGCAGTGACACAGTGATTCATCTGCAGCTAGTTTACTAAACTGTGGGCACTGAGAAATAGGCAACCCGTATTGAGCCAAAGGTACTGCTGGCCTCGCGAAAGCTCAGCCAGGTGCTGAGAGTAGGGTGACAGCACAGCTTTGGGAGGCACGGAGAGTGAAGAGGGGAGAGAGGCACGTTCACACCATAAGGTTCACACCGCGCCATGAGAAAGCCTCTGGGCCGAGCCTGAATTTAAAGCGGGAAATGAAGGGGCAGAGATTTTAACTAATACACTGAACCTTTACATCGGTCACCTAGCTTCAATCTCACGGCAACACTAAGAAATTGGTATTAGTAATCCCCTCTTAGACTCGAGGGACTGAGGGTGAAAGAAGCAAAGAGGCTCTTCCTGGGACTTATGCCCGGCGCGCCAGACTCCCAGGAGGGGGGAGCGCCCGGGCCAGGCTGCACCGCGTTCCTGGAGGGGAGAAAAGCCCGGCTGCGGCACAAAAACCGAGGCCTGGGTGAGGCGCCAACCCAAGCTGCCAGCAGCGGAAGGAGAGGGGGGTCTCAGGCGCTCAGCCCTCGCCCGTGGTAGGTCGGTGCGGAGACCAGAGCTGGAAGCCAAACGCAGACAGTTGGCGAGAAGCACCAGCCCCCTCCGCCGGCCTACTAGCTGCGGGGAGGGGTTTCTCACGCCCCCTGCTCCTGGGTGACTGCACCGGAGGTCGGAAGGAAGCGGGGCGAGGGGATGAGTCATCCCGCCTAATTCCTCCTTCCCGGTCCCTCGCCTCCGCACGCCGGCCCCCTCCCGAGATCGAGCAGCCGGGAGCGAAAACTCGCTCATCCTGAGTCCGCTACCAAACCCGCTGTGGCCTGCATAAGAGAGGTGAAGGACGGGGCGTGTGGCCAATGAGAGCTTCGCCCTCTCGCCGCCAGCCAATGGGCCGCTGTTTACAGGGTAGGGCGGGACTCGAAGGGGGCGGTCCCGGGCTGGCGCGCGGCGTCGCGGTCCGGTGGCTCACAGAGACAGTGGCTCAGAGACAGAGCGCCTCACAGGGAGTCGGCGCCCAAGCGACGCGGGAAGGCGCCACCGCCGCCGCCGCTGGCCAGGGTGCTGGATACGACAGGCCGGTCGACCGCTTCGCCAGCTCAGGCACCCGTTGCAGCTGCCGCGGCTTCGCTCCCAGCCCGGTCCTCATGGAAGAGATGGAAGAAGAGTTAAAATGCCCTGTGTGCGGCTCCTTCTATCGGGAGCCCATCATCCTGCCCTGCTCTCACAATTTATGTCAAGCGTGCGCCCGCAACATCCTGGTACAGACCCCGGAGTCTGAATCCCCCCAGAGCCGTCGGGCCTCGGGCTCCGGGGTCTCCGACTATGACTATCTGGACCTGGACAAGATGAGCCTGTACAGCGAAGCGGACAGCGGCTATGGTTCCTATGGGGGTTTCGCCAGTGCCCCCACTACCCCGTGCCAGAAGTCCCCCAATGGCGTCCGCGTGTTCCCCCCGGCTATGCCGCCACCGGCCACCCACCTGTCACCGGCCTTGGCCCCGGTGCCCCGCAACTCCTGTATCACCTGCCCCCAGTGCCACCGCAGCCTCATACTGGATGACCGGGGGCTCCGCGGCTTCCCCAAGAACCGCGTCCTGGAAGGGGTAATTGACCGCTACCAGCAGAGCAAAGCCGCAGCCCTCAAGTGCCAGCTCTGCGAGAAGGCGCCTAAGGAGGCCACCGTCATGTGCGAACAGTGCGATGTCTTCTACTGCGATCCATGCCGCCTGCGCTGCCACCCGCCCCGAGGGCCCCTAGCCAAGCACCGCCTGGTGCCCCCGGCCCAGGGCCGCGTGAGCCGGCGGCTGAGCCCGCGCAAGGTCTCCACCTGCACAGACCACGAGCTGGAGAACCACAGCATGTATTGCGTGCAGTGCAAGATGCCTGTGTGCTACCAGTGCTTGGAGGAGGGCAAACATTCCAGCCATGAAGTAAAAGCTCTGGGGGCCATGTGGAAACTGCACAAGGTGAGTCCTAAGAAAACCCACCCCTAACTCCCCTCGCCTCCGATCCTCGGGTTTTGCAGCAGACGGTCTCCCTATTGCGCACAGTGCATCCCAGTGGGGGTGCAATGCAGGTTCTCCTGTATCTGCTTCCCCCGTCTGGTGCACTGCAGAAGCGCAGGGGGACCTTAAACCGAGCGCAGGGGAGTTGAATATCCCCGGAGAGCTGTTGCGGGGATGCCTGAGAACCGGTCTCCCGGGGAGCACTGCCTAGCACCGGGCGTCCCAGCTCCGCGGCGGAGGCGCAGCCTGCGGTCGCCGCCGGGGTACTGGAAAGCGCGGCGTAACTGGGCCGAGGCACGCCAGCGCCCGGGGCTGCCAGGAACGCTCCAGGGCAGATCCGGCTGCGGTCCCCAGGAACGAGGTGGGGGCGGTGGGGCGGCGCGAAACGCGGAAGGCTGGAGCTGCCGTGTAGGCGGGCTCTGTGACTCGCGGCGGGGGCGGGGAGAACTCCGCGGGTGGAATACTGATGAGTCCGCCCTGGGCCAGACCGGGTGTCCGCGCTGGAGCGGGTGCGGGACCGGGTGCTTTGCCCCCAGGCGGCGGAGTTGGTGCAACCGAGGAAAAAAAGAATCCTGTGGTCGCCACGGCAACAAGACTTGATGGCTGCGGGTCCTGACCCTCCCTGGGGGTAGGGACCTGGGGCTGAAGTAGCAGGACCAGAGGTTTCTGTGTGGTCTCGGCCTGAAAGCTAGGCAGGTGTGTATCCCAGGGTAACCGCATCCTCCCAATCGCCACACACGAATTTGTCCAGGATTCAACCCTTTTCCTCTTTCAGTAGTTGTCTTTGAAAGCTTTGAGGCACCTGTTACCAACAGATTTATCTTTCTGGTCTCTTTTGATGGCGCCTCCACCAAAGCCAGCTTCAAGAAGAGTGCCTTTAACAACGTTTAGGTAAGCCGCTCCTCTGCTCAGAATTCTCCAATTGTCCCCCACATTTCTTAGACGGTCCCTAAAATGGTCCACTAGGACCTGCTTGATCTGTTCACGTTTGGCCTCATCGACCTCATTTCGTCCCACTCATTCCCTTTGCTCCAGCTGCACTGTCCTTCAACCAACATCAGACACCTTCCGGCCCCCGGGCCTTTGCATTCGCTGTTCTTTACGATTGGGACAGTCTTACCCAATAAATACCTTGTATTCGAATGGCTCACTCTCTTGCCTCCTTAGATTGTTGCTCAGATGTCACCTTTGCAGTGAGACCCTTCTGAACACAGTTGCTGCCTCTAGTCTCAGACACCCCTAACTGGCATGCTATATATTGTAATTATCATGTTACTTTTGTATTTATCTATTGCTCCTCTCCACACATACTAGAAAATAAGCTTCATGAGGAAAAAGATCTTTATAATATTATGCCCACCCTGCTTAGAAGGAAGGGAACCACTCTTGAGGAGATGTGTATAAATTTCACTTATAATTTTTAAATAATTTGCTTGGTTGGGATGCAAAGGGTAAGGCAGGGATTCAGGATTATTATAGGGAGATTTTCTTCACATCATTGAGTTGCAAGCCCAAGGATCAGGTAGGGCAGTAAAGATGGTGTTCAGGCCTCAGCTATGCCCCACTAAGGGTTTCCCAGCATTTCTTGGAGACTAGAAAGGCTAGTCTCTGAGAGAGATCATGGGGTTCAGGCTGGAAGAACAAGAAAAGAAATATGGATATCACCTTTTTTTAGCAATCAAGGAGGTTTTCTCAATTCAGTCTTAATTGAATGTGACCCGTGTTTATGGTTATTTGGGTTCTCACATATAACCTATTAAATCTTATTCGTACTGATGGAAATTTAAGTCAGCACAAATTTGAGCCCTATTAGGCATATGCATCTATTTTTAAAACAATTTCAATTTAACTTTTTTAAAATGATATTTTATTTTGAAAGTTTTCAAAACTTGAGTTCATGGCCAATTTTTTTCTTCATGTTATGATTTCACTCTTAAACTGCTAACTATAGCCTATGTTAAGTTACTTTTCAAAATTATTCTTGGAACTAAGAAATTAATCACCCTGACTGAAAAAAGAAGTTAAGAGTCACGCAGTAATTAGGATGGTCAAACCACAGCATTATTTTTCTGTGAAGAGTCTATACTTTATCCATTAAAACCAAAAGCAACCTTTTAATCTTTGTCAAGCCCTGTATAGATTTGAAATGTTAAATCACTCATTTTATGGGTAATGGAAATTGTGAGTGGACACTGGTGTGGACTGGGTTGAAATTTGGATGTCTGTTTAAAAACCAACAATGTCAAAGCCCTTGAGACATGACATGTAAGTAAGACATGTAAGTAAGCTAGAAAAGGAAGGTTGGTTTGTTGGAAAAAAAAAAAATTTCTTCTCTGATCTTTTGCACACTTTTTCCAAAACAGTGAATAGGTATAATTTTTGTTCAATCAATATCAGAATTATTAAACTGCCAGAAAAAAACAAGGCAGAAAGATGACAGATTTTAACATTTGCTTACCGTCTTAGGTGAACAACAAATATTACTCCCCTATCTTATATTCTTAATAAAATAGTTAATGTGTTAACGCTGGATTTTCTCATATAGTCTATTTATGTTCTGTTTCCACAACAGCTCATGGGACAGAATTTCTATGCCCTTCAAAACATAAGAGAGCAAAGAATTACATTAAGTAGTTTCCCCAAAGTTGGGCAGTAAGTTATCAACACACATTATTACTAGACCTGAAAGTTTTCATTAATATTCTACCATATTAATTAGTCATTTCTAAGGATAAAAAATTCTGTGAATAAGTATTTCCCTCGAGCTCTAAGTCATCATCTTACACATTTAAGACAAAATGGCTGAAATTTATTTTTAAAGAGGTTTTAAAAACAACTGGTTGAAATTCATTAGTTGTCAGTTGACCAAATTAAAATACTTCTCACACATATATGACTTTCAAAATCCATGAAAAGTAATACTGCATCAAGTAGCCATATAAGACAAATACCTGGTAACAGTTTTCATTTAGTAGGAGCACTTGCTATATTCCTTTATCCAACTTAGTTTGGTATAAAGAATTGCTACACAAAAAAATCATTTCGTAGATACTTTCAAATAGGCAATTGGAACAATTATTACTATTCTGTAATTTTAGCAATTCACATTTCTAAATCTAACATTATCCTTGAATTCCTGGTGTGTTTTATCAATCTCTGAATCAGTACATTTGAAACCATTCTGTTGTATTTGTGCTATTGAGCAAAGATTTTCTTTTCCTTTCTGTACTAACCACTCTGAATCTTGTCTCAAATGTTATTTTTCTCTTAGAAGATTTGCAATTTAAGGAACATTTCATTTTTTAAAGATTTTATTTATTTATTTTAGAGAAAGAGCTAGGGTGTGGGAGTGGGGGCGGGAAGCAGCAGGGGAGGGAGAGGGACAAGCAGACTCCCACCCTGAATGCAGCACCCCTGGCAGGACCCAGTCCCACAACCCTGAGATCATGACCTGAGCCTAAACCAAGAGTCAGATGCTCAACCGACCGAGCCACCCCTGTACCCCAGCGACATTTTAAAATAAACTATCAGTTATGCTTTCATTTTCAAAGTATTCTGGAAAAAATATCTGCTTTGTAGTATGTTGGTATCTCATCAAGTATTTGTGTAGCAAAGTGTTATTTAATGTAACCAAAATGGTATTTGGTTAACTATCAGCAGTAAACACAATATAATCTAGATGTTCCTATGATAAATATAACAGATAGCAGATCTTCATTTTTTTATATTTTTTAAATTTACATCTAGTACAGTCAGAACATTCTGTGCACAGTGATACAAATATTAAGGATAATGTATCAGAGAAGTCAGTTGTTCCTCTTTGTACTGAGGCATAATAGAAAGAGCTAGATGACAGGGGATCCCATTCCAGACCTAATGCAGCCACTGACTTCCATTCTTCCTACACACAAATCTATATTTGTGGAAATATTTTGAAAAAATAATTTAAATGCATATAACTTACTCATTTCAGTTTGGCACAAGAGAAAGCTTTATATAAAACAGAAGTTGTCTCACTAGTCAACAATTATTTCATAAGACCTCATCCCCTAATTTGGGATATTTTGCTTGCTCCTTTCAGAGCACAGTGTGCAGTAAAAGGCTACTCTTGAAGGTACCCCAGAAGGGTGAGCCACAGCCTCATGAGTCCAGAGAATATTCAGTTGAAGTAAGCTCAAGGAATAAAAACACTACACAAAGATTTATTTATATATTAAACAAAGGCATTTTGTTTTTCAGTAATGATGCTAAAATGATAGTTGATATCACTCAGTTTTTTCAGATTCTCCAATGAAGACAGTGTTATCCCTCTGAAGTAGCAGAAATTGTTCTTCCCGTATATACCATGAAACGATGCTACCAATTGAAATTTCAGGTCAAGACACAGTTTGCATAAAGAGAAAATTATCATAGCTACCTGTTATTGACTAATAAGAATAATGCACAGTCAAAAATTATCCTTACTTTCAGTACAGTAAATTCTCTCATCTAAGTATTTCTCAAAATGTGTGTATGCATATAACTCAACCTTGGCTCAGAGGAGGATAGAACCCATTACATAGAACCCATTTTTACATTACATGGTAAAAAATTAAGAACAAGATAGTTCTAAATAATATTGTTATCAATTTTATCAGGGACTCTTGGTTATAAGGAACAGAAAACCCACTTAAGTGATCTCAGAGGATTTCGTGGGGAATGAAACAAATCAACTCTCAAGGAAAGCAGAACTGGAAAGCTAGAAACTAAGTTTATTTTCTGTTATCAGTCAGATTGGACTAAATTATGCTACAGTAACAATTTCCTAATCTCAGTGAATTACAACAGTATGTAATTTCTCACTCCCCTCAGTGCCCACTGAGAATCGGCTGTGGCCCTTCTCCACATCTTCCTATTCTTTTTTTTTTTTTTAAGATTATTTATTTATTTATTTGAAAGAGAGAGAATGAGAGAGAGAGAGA